GGACAGTAACAATCTTCGGGCCCTGTCTGATCACAGTGACAGGCCTCCTCCTGACACAGCAGCAGGAATGGTTCGGGAGAGACCAAGTGGGCGCAGTGGAGAAACACACTAGAGGTCTGCAACACGCTGCAGCTGGACAAAATCTACACATAAGCACAAACAGGCAGAAAATAAGTTGTTTGCCTCTTTTTAGGTCTAACAACCTGTGCAGCTGAATAAATGGGGAATAGAAACCATGTCTGAAACTTCATCAGAAAATATGTTAAATGCCAAAAAAAGAGGAAGAGTGGATTAACATCTGGTGGGTGAAAATTGTGAAAATGGCAATATCATAATGATAGAAACTGAGATTTTGAATAAAAGTGAAAGAATACATATTCATCAGTTTTGTAGTGAACTGAAGGAGATGCTGATAGGATCCTATGGTTTCACACTAACATGAAATTTGTACAGTTTTCTCACATGTGGGTGTTTCACATGTGCAAAATGTTCTTTCAAAATCCAACTGTTTTTATTTCGTATCTGCTCACCCACAAAGACTGCACAGACTACAGAGTTGCAATCACACCTGTCAGATCTGTCCGCTTACCAGCTGTTCGTTTTTTTTTTAAAGAGACTGGGCTGTCGTCCCCATTTGAGCATATTGAACCTTAATCCTGTGTATGAAAGCCAAAATGCCTTTATAAAAAAGAACAGATGTATTAAAAATGCCAAGTCTTTCTAAAATCCTAAGTCAGAGATCTGATACAATATGAGACATTTAAGCACAATTTATACCTTTGTCGAATAAAAGTTAAAAGTAGAGATAGAATAGTAAATGAGACTAATAATATGTATTTGGACATCAACCAAAGACAATGGGGGTTATAGTTGGCACTTTAACTCCAAAACCCACCTGATTTTAAAATATACATTATATGTTTGTAAAGAAAAATGTTTATTTACAAATCTTTATGAGTTTCTGTGTGTGCAAAAAAATATAACCTATTGCATATTAACAGTAAAAGAAACAAAGACAAATTAGAGCATAATACACACAAAGAAATATCAGGTGCTTTGTTAGGAAGTGAACCACTGTAAAATACCTTTTTTATTGTGAGGAGAAATGTACAAAGCTTTTATTTAATGACTTGTGTCTACACATCAGATATCATGACACGCCTACTATCTAAACATGTGCATTTGTGTTAACTACCCTCTCACCGTGGAAGTTTCTTTTGTTGTGTTACAGGATTTTGATGGATTTGACACACGCTGACAGGACTGATCAGCTCCCTTCACTGCCCACGAATTTGCAAAGTCATAAGTGTCCTCTGTTAGGAATCCTGAAAAATACACAGGCACGCACAGACAGAGAGACAAACAAGTTGACAGATTTGTTCTTAATCTCATCCTACCACAACTGTGTCTTTTGCTTTCTTTTACTTTATCTTTTCCTGTACTCGGTTGTTCCTCTTCCTGTTGCTGAGTGCTGGTGACTCAAATCGTTTCCTCTATTCCAGTAATAATAAACTCTCCCTAGTTTCACTCTTCTCACAGTTGCATCTTGTGGGCTGTATAGCACGCACATACCTTCCTGAGCAGTATATTCATCGGCAGTCATAGAGTTGAAGTTGCCACAGAGCCCGCAGGTGTGGTTTGCATGGCGTTTGGTCAGGGTCAAGGCGATGTTGGCAGCATTATCAATGGTGACAGTGAAGCCAAACTCCTCACTCCAGAGCTTGTAAAAGCCGAGCTCTGAGCCCACAAACACAGAGTGAGATGCATAGGGCAGTGACAGCCTAGAAAAAAAAGACGGCATAAATCAAGCTCCTGCAGAAGCAAAATAGCAAGGAGCTTTCAATATTTATACACACAAACTTAATGCTGAATGACAGCGCTAGTGTGCTACCTTTTTTCTCCTTGTGAGAGCCGTCCGTCTACAGAAAGGTGCAACTCAAAGACATCCCCCAAAAATAGCGTGACTCCAGTTTTTTTGCCATTTTGAAAGTCGCCTGCAGATCCAAAGCACATTTTGAACACACTGTTACTACTTTGTACCACCACCATGGCAGACTTCGCCAAATAAGACAGAAAATTAAAAGTGAAGATGACTTGTAAACAGTTTCCAAAAGCCAACATATTGCATCAACGAGGCATTACACACTAAACTACACAAGATAAGCCTGGCACACTATTAAAATTCAAATCTTTTTCTGAATCTCTTTATTGAATTTGAGCGTGACTCACCCAGCAGTGTGAAGGAGTGGTGGTTGCAGTCCCCAGCCAGAAGGTAGCTGCAGTCTCCAGGAAAGTCATACAAAACACCATCGAATGTGTGAACGTGGTGCCGTCCAAACAGACTGCATCTCCCTGTCATGCTCGCTAGACAAGCTGAACACACACAAACAGAGTACACAGATATGCCGATGTGTGCTGAAGAAGAATTATAAGAGATTTCATATGAAGCACGTAACATATGTCACTTTTTGGGTGTAAAGATAGAAACGAAACTGGATATTCTCCAATATAATACTCACAGGTCAGCTGCAGGAAAACCCAAATTCCTCGCAAATATCTCTTTATGTAGTCCTGGAACACATAAACATATATGCTTTCATTTTCATCACAGCTTAAACTAATATCTTTATTGTCTGATGTACAAAGATCGTGTTATTTTGTGTGCGATGTTAGGCCTGCTTCAAAACCCCTTTTTTTTACTTCTATAAACTCCAAGTACTCATACCTCCATGGTTCCAGACTCCAGAAACAGCAGACACTATCCCAAATCACGACGTTAAGACCTCGCAGAGTCCGGACATTATAAAGTAATGTGATGGTCAAGCATTGGCTAAACTAAGAAGAATTTCAGCCCCACTGGAAGCTCAGTTTTATAGCAAAGACTGAACCCAACCCAACTTTCATAGGCTTTCTCTTAAGTCCACTCCCCTTGCCAGGTTCAGACAAGAGGGAAAGAATGCCTTTCTGTCCACAACTTGGAGCCTGCAGACTGACACCATCAAACACACTCAACGGGACAATGCCAGGATATGCCCACTGATCGCCTGGCTGAGTGATTAGTCTACACATACGTATCTGTATCGGTGCCAAGCCAAACAATCCTTTTGGTAAAAAAAACACTTACTAAAGCGATCTCACGCAATTACACTGCTTCGATAGTGTCACATGCACAAACACACTTGTCTTAACGGCGCCAAAATTACACACACATATACACACACGCACACATAATGGGAACATGTGATGATCAGCACTCTCAGGTGGAAACTTATGTTGTCTCTGGACAAAGCTGAGGAAAAAGAAGAAGAATATGTTTGGTGTTTTCAGATTCACAACCTGTATCACAATGTCACAAAAATAAGTATTTATATAAGTATGAAGCAAGCATAAAGTAATTATAAATAAGTAAATAAGAATTCTGCAGACTGAGGCTGTTTCTTTTGCTTTCACTCTCTTTATGTAACTCTAGGCTACTAAATACGTAATGATCAGGGTCTGTGGAGACTACCTGATCTACCTATCTGGTGTAAACAGACAAAGCACCCAAAATGTTCGCACAGTATGTATGATCTATCTAGTGTTGAGCTAGAAATCACCTGTGGAGCTGTGTGCTTCAAACACACCGCAAACCCACGCAGACGTTCATAATCTGCCTGATAGAAGGCGTCTCTGCTTGAAACAAGGGTATTACTGGCATCACTGAAATTATGTGTGTAACCAAAAATGTCCTGTAGTGCGACAGTGAGATGCCAAGAGATGTTTTTCAAAACAGACAAATGAACATGCGGAATTTGGAGAAAAACAAAATTCTAACATTATTACTTGCAAATGTGCCTACATGTCTTCTGTATAGCAGCTCTGATAGCTCTGATATAATAACTTAACTGAAAGGGCATGCAGAGCTTTAGGTAGTCATTTATATGCATGGTGAGGCAGTTTTGGTCAAGTTGGTTATCCTGCAGAACCACCCCCCCCCCCCAACCACACAAACAAATATAGCAAATATAACCAAATTAAAACGAATATATGCAAATTTATGTGTATTTTTTCTAATTCAATAATTTTCTGGAAATAATGTCATAGCTCAGGCTTTAAAGGGTTAAAGTGGGGGTTTTCTACTTATTAATAAACCGCCCGTGAAATAATTCAGTCCTACTACGGATATGAAAACTGAAAACTTTATTATTAAAAGCTAAATGTAGACAAATGGCATCATACTTTTCAGGCTTTTTTCGAGCATAGCGATGTTGACTCTTTCACAGCTATGTTGTTAAATTAAATTAATAAAGTTATAAAAACATTAGGTAAAACAAAAATGTATACATCATCTATAAATGGTAGCTAATTCATTGCCCACTTAAAAATGGCCGTAAAACGTATATCTAAGCGTGATATACCCTGAAGCAGGACTGTTCAGACACAAGACTAATGTACAGCCTTCATGCCTCACAGATGCTAATGCATTCAATTGCAAAGCTGCTTGTTTCATATCGCGTTTAGAAGTGAGAGCGTGTAACCTATAATCTGTCTGTGAGCTATATATTGCTGGCGAGCACACAGCCTGCTCGTGCACCGTGTTCATTCATGTACAGTATATTTAATCCGTGAACGCGCTTTCCTTATTCCTGGAGAATTACGTCATCGCAATGCCCAGAGTCCTGCAGGAACTTGCATTCAAATGCCCACAGCAGGGTGCTGTTAAGTGTACTGTTCCCACTATTGTATATAGGAAAGGCACACATTGAGACTATACTGAAAAGCAAGTGCAGGCTGCAATCTGAATAAATCGAAAATCGTGTGGAGATGTCAACACTCCTACATCACCGGAAATCCCACAAAATCCCCGAAAATAACTAATAGAACCATATCCACTTGTTTTTGGTCAAATAATTAAATAAAGAAGAAATTGTAAACAAAAGTTTTCAGGAATAAAGACAGAAAGAAGAAGAGCCATAGGAGGCTGTGCAGCCGTGAGGGGGCGGACCACTACAGGCGCGCTCCGCACGACGCGCGTCAGCGCCGGCGCCTCGGCAAATAACCTCATTCTGCATACAGGCTGTTATATAGTGGCTCTTCTCCTCTTGAATTTGAGATAGCGGTACAAGTGTGAGTCACAGTTCAAGGACCACCATGGCTGCACTGTCGGGGGGTGAGACGTGCATCAAATACCTGATGTTTGCCTTTAACCTGGTGTTCTGGGTGAGTCCGAAGCAAGAAAATATTTTATTCTCGTGTGCATCCTGCCTGTTTTTCTACGTGTGTGTGTGCGTGTAGGTGTGCGAACGTGTGTGAGGTTTGCGTAGGAACATGCGCATTCGTGTGAGCGCAGGTTACTATAGTGAATAAAATTACACGGTATAGACGTCCCAGATGCCGAATAGTGCTCACGGTGTGTGTCTGTTACTTATCCCCGGATTGTCTGAGCAGCCGCATGAATGAATTATGGCTCTGGCTGCCACTAAATACAAAGTGTCCCAATGTTTGTGGAGACCGTGCGGGCTGGAGAATAATCCCCAGTGGCCAAGTGACCCAGTTCCACCGCGCAGACTAGCCACACTCTGGAGTTTGCGCGCATGGCATTTTAATACTTGCAATGAGGGGGAGGGGGCTTATTGTGGCCGAGATATAGCCCCAAAATTAAGTAATTAACATTTCCGCCCCTAAAAGAGTTGTTAATGGAAGTCTGTCTACTTGGCGGTGTGCGCGCGCACATGCTTGTGCGTGAATGCTAGATATCCCATGTAGGTTATGTGTGTCCCGCTGTCCTGCGCACCCGCAGGGTGTGTCTTGCTGTTTGAGTGGGATGTGGGATTGAGTGGGATGTGTGCGTGTGGTTTCAAATGGTTGTGTTGCCTTTTATGCACGTTTGTAATCTGCGACGCTATACATAGAGCTAAGTGTAGCATTAATTACAGGGCAGACAGATTTCCCACAGCATGTGAACGCTACGTGTGAGAGAAAAAAATAAGTTTTGAGTGTTAATAAGATTGATGAAAATAGGTCATTAGAATCACTTTTTAAAAGTCACAAATGTTTCGAAATGGAGAAGCTTTAGGAATACAATACATTATAAATTACAGTATAACTCTTAATCAGCAGAATTTGTCAACACACAGGGACGCTTCCTTATAACTAGCATCCTCATTTAAACAAAGACACTTCCCTTCTGAGATAGAAACTAACCAGGGTCAAAGCTCAGTGCAGCTTTTGTGTCAGTGCACACAGAGCAGAGTTCGCAAATTTTGCTTGGACTGGATCAAAACCCACTTCTGGGTGCAGCAGAAGCTGTAGGTGTAATGGGAAGCAAAAGTCGACCCATTCACTGTAGGTACGAGTTCAGATACCAGAGGATTAAATGTGTCGTCAAGCAGGTATTTTAGGAAACGTTTACATGCCTGGACACAACCCCTCTATCTACCAGATCATAACACCCTCTAACTATACATGGAACAACAGGTTGAAAGAGAAGAGTTGCTTTGGCCACTCCCTACCTCCATAATCAGGTGACTCTGAAAGGCACGGTATTGAGAATACGCTCTCTTACCACTACCTTTGCGTTGGCTTCTTCCTGGAAAAAAAGGCACTACTTTGTCACAGTGGTGAACTGTTTAATGTGACTCAACATGGCTCTCGGTGGGGGAATCAAATGTGTGAAATATCTCATGTTCATCTTCAACCTTTTCTTCTGGGTAGGTGTATTTTGCTTTTTAATTAATTAATTATTATTTTAAAAAATTTTTTTTGATCTGGTGGTTTGTGTGATAAAGAAAAGGGGAAATGTTTCAACTTGTGTTACAGTTCTGTAACAAATTTCTACTAGCTAACATATTTTAAAGGATACAGGAAAACTGCAGCAATATGGCATAAAGTATTCAAAACAAGAAGCATTTGTCAAAACGTGAGAAGAAAAGGCAAAGTGACACTCCCACGCTTTCAAAAAAAAACTGCGTGCCACCTTTCTTCTCAAAGTTAAACATTTACCAACCTATCTTTGCCGAGGCTTGTAAGTGGCCTTGTACACACGTTTTTTAAAGTCCTAAACTCTGAGTTTTAGAATACTTTCTCCGCATATTTCAAATAACTTGCTACTATGTGTTCATGTTAAGTGAAAATGTTAAAAGGAATGTGTGCAAGCTGTGGCCATGCAGGCTCCCTTCTCTGTTATCTGTCTCAGAGCTTAAGAATCAAAAGTGTAATGTTCAGTTTCAGTTTACTTTGGGCTATTTGTTTTATTTTGTTTTTTAGAAACATGAAGCTGTGTAGGTATTGAATTGTAATATTTGTAGGTGTTTTTTTGATTGATTTGTAGACAAATAGAAGTAATTACTGTGAAAGGAGAGTTTCCACAATGAGGCACTGTTTATTAAATTATATTTGAAGATTTCTGTTTGAGTACTGCGAAACTGTAAGGATGAAACCAGGAGAAACAGCTGGTCAGTGCAGTGTTTAAAACTCAGAGGCATAATTGTTAACCGATGCTTGCTGATTAGGTTGGCAAGCGGGGGATGGTGCATGCATGGACATGAAGAGAACTGAGTATGAAGAGTTTTCTTCTTGACTCAACTTTTAATGAGCAAACAGTATGCAAATTGCATGGTCCAAATTGCAATATATCTTGTATGTGACAACATATATTTTTGTGTGTTGCAGCTCGCCGGCACTGCTGTATTAGCTATAGGACTGTGGCTAAGATTAGACCAGAAGACCAAAAGCTTATTTGAAGAACCAGATTCTTCATATGTGTTTTACACAGGTAAGATGCAGGGATGTTTATTATATCATAGCTATTTATATAAAAGCTATTTATTCTTCTCTGTATATCACATGTGTTGTGTGTGTGTAGGTGTATATATTCTGATAGCAGCTGGAGCACTGATCATGGTGGTGGGCTTTCTGGGATGTTGTGGTGCCATCCGGGAGTCCCCCTGTATGCTGGGAACGGTTTGTACCACTTAATAATCTTCATAACTATCATATTCTATTAACTGATTTTGATCTAACTAACATAAAAATTTTAACTGTCTTAGTGATTTCACTTAGCTGCACTTGGACTTTTTATCTCACTGTCACAAGTGTGCTTTACGGACGAACCTTGGGCTCACTCAAAAGATATGAGATGTCTGCCTTCATCTTTGTTTACTGAACTGTGTGAAGGCCACGGAAGAGTCTCTTAGATTTCTCTGCACTAGCTTCCACCATCCTGCTCCGTCTGGCCATAATCTTCTCTTCTCGTATTAAACCTCTCAAGAGGAGGAGTAAATGAAAACTGGGTTTGGCTACCCTCAACTGACCTTATGTGTTCATACATGGGTGCAGAAGACATGCGCGCAAGCATGCCTGGAAGCAAACAGTCAGCTGAGTTTAATTTAGTCTTTTTCTTTCTGCAGTTCTTCTTCTTCCTGCTAATCATATTTGCCATTGAGGTAGCTGCTGGAATCTGGGGATTTTCTAACCAAAGCCAGGTAACATTTTAACAAATTATAATGCTAACTATCAGGTTGAAAACACTTTACACAGACCTAGTACACTACAGGAATCCATGTGAGAAAACACTGCCAGATCAGAAAAGACAAACCAAATCCAAAAAAGCGAGTCGAGTGAAGGGGTTTGGAGATTTATGTGTCTCTGTGACATATATTATATCATCGTTTCTCCGTTTACTGCTGTTTTGCAGGTGGTGAATGATATCACAGGATTTTACACACAGACGTACAACAACTACAAGTCAAATGGAGACGAGCACCTCAAAGAGACACTGCGGGTGATTCAAGCTGAGGTGAGTCTCTTTCTAATTCAGGCCGACTCTGATCTTATCCAAAAGAAATTTGTCACCTACGGTAGAGTCAGATAAATGTTGATTATTATTTCTAGGTGAAACTGGTTTTCTAGGACAGATTTTTTTTGTATTACCGTTCTTCATGAGAATTACTAAGATCAAAACCACAGCTGCTATGTGTGAAGCTAAAACTGTGAGATGATTACACACAACAAACTATACAGGTAGTACAAGGAAAACGTGTATCTAGTGATAACAACACATCTACCACCTTTTCTAAGTCTCACATCTTAACATGCTGTATCTCAGGCTTAATGTCTGCATTAACATGTGTCGCAAACGCTATTAAGAGAGGTGCAGGCTTTATTTGGATGATCTGTATAAAAAGGATGGACATGGTCTCCAAAATGAAGCCTTAAACCTCCATTCTATCTAATGACCAACGATGAGTGATTCCTCAGATAGTCCATAAGTGTATATGAGAAGGGTTAATTGTCAATGTTAATTAACAATTTAAATATATATGTATATAAATATATATATGTGTGTGTATATATATATATGTTATTGTATGTTATTGTAAAAGGTTATATATATATATATATATATATATATATATATATATATATATATATATATATATATCTATATATAACCTTTTACAGTAACATAAATGACAGCCCAGGGTGTACTTCAGTGTGTGAGTCTACAAACCATTAGGTGATGCCACGGTGACTATGTTTAACTTCCTAGGACCACATTTTGGGTTGTGTAGACCACAATACTAAATTTTGCTCTACATAGGGCCTGATATCCACTTACAATGACATTATACTGCCACTGTTCTATCAAAATTTAAAATGAATATCCTCTTATGTGGACCTCATTTTTCTCAGAAACAAAAATCAGGTGAAAAAAACGGTGATTCTTTGTTTTTACATTCATCAGGTCCCAATCAGCCCAAATAGCAAAGTTAAATTAAAAATGCCAAAGGAGCTTGCAAAGAAAGCTGTCTGGAGACGCCTTTCTTTGCAAGCTCCTTTGACTACGATGACCTGGATGACTGAGAACCTTCACAGACTTAAATGAAAAATGCATGCCATGGAAAAGCACATTTGGGGTGGGGTGAGGGTGTGGGATGGGGGGTCTCTGTTTTCATCTGCATTCATGGTCATCATGTTCATTTACAACATATATTCATATATGTTTACAGCTGAACTGTTGTGGTCCAAATGGGAGGTTAGAGGAAACAAACACAGAAACTTGTCCAAAGGGGGAGCTGCTGGAGGAGCTCATTACTAAGGTATGACTATCCTGTGTGTGTGTGTGTGTGTGTGTGTGTGTGTGTGTGTGTGTGTGTGTGTGTGTGTGTGTGTGTGTGTGTGTGGATAGAGATGGAGAGTGGAGAAATCAAGAGGCATGCTGGCATGCTTCATCTCTCTGAGATCTGTGGCAATTACTGTAAATCAAATGCATAATCATGGTCCAATGTGTGTCATAAGTCTGTCAATCTTCCCTTTGCAGAGCAATCCCCTAGTCTCTTTGCAGTGTTACCATAGCAACGGTGGTTTACAGGAGCCCACATGCCCTCAGGCTGTCTTTTATGTGTACCATCCCACAAGTCATGTTCAGAAAGCTCAAAGAAATTATTACTATCTTTTGCAGAGCTGCCCTGATGCCATTGAAGAGGTGTTTAACTCCAAATTGCACATCATAGGAGGAGTAGGCATTGCCATCGGGGTCATTATGGTGAGCGCATGATTGGTTTAACTCTTAATGCTATTGTGCTGAATGAGGACAGTCCAGAAATGAGCTCAAAACTTGTAACACTCTTTCTTACAGGTGTTTGGGATGATCTTTAGCATGCTCCTGTGCTGCGCCATCAGGAGGTCCAGGGAGGTGGTGTGACACCCTCTCGAAGTCCTCATTAATGTTGCATGATGTCATTCCTAGAGTCCCACGACTCTCCACTGCCAGTAGAAACACTGCTCGTTAAAGGGGGGGATAAACTAAGCTTAGGCTGGGTGCACATATTTCTGATTGCATTATACGTCAGCCTTATCTGTGCTGCTGATGCTTAGGCCCACTTTCCTGGACTAGATAGCTGTTATGTGGTTATAAGGCCCAATTTTAAAATGGGTGTCATCTGTTATTCAGTGGCAGTGTAGTAAAAAGAAATGTGTACTTTTGTGGTGATTTGACTGAAATTAGTGTGTGAACAGCTAATTATCTAAACAAAACATGATACTATTGTATACTGATAACATTTCTATTGCTGTCACTTGGGGTCATCTACTAGCAAGAACATGGTCCAGATATAAAAAAACAAACACAAAAAAGCAAACACTTCTGCACAACACAGCCACAGCAGTTTTACAGTTCCTTTTTTCATGCAACTTCTTAAGTAAAATTAAGGTGACGAGTAGCCAGCTGAATACCGAGCTGTTAACTTTAAGCTAGAGTAGCATCTTGATTCCTTTATTTTCATGACATTTGATTTGTTCCTGGTCCTTATCCTGATTTGTGTTTGTAAATGTTTTCCTTTTTGTATTTGTAAGATTTCTAATGTTAGCTGTTTATATTTTTACGTGCAGTTTGACGATTCATTTTGCAGTGTTCTCTTCAATTTAGAGATTGATTTATATCATATGCACTGTTTCACAGAGACAAAATTTAACAATAAGCGCCAAATAAACTAAAATGTACTGAGTCGACTATGAGTTTACTGTAACAATCATAAAGTTTATTTATAGAGAAAATATAAACAATTCAGTATAGGAAAATAAAACGTGCCAGCAAGGGAGCATTTAAGCATTTAAATAGAGAAATAAAAGTGGACCATAAAATAATATGACCTGCAATTATTCCCAAACGCTGTAATAGTAAACAAGTTGGAGAACATTTAACTGCACCTGTTCTTAGGTCACTTGGTAACATTCATAACTACAATGAAAATATAAGAGTTACACTGATTCACTGTTAGACTGAGCTTTATTTACATTTTAGATTTAGCTGCTCACGATACAGCATGCTGCAAGAGTTAGACGTGCGTAGGTGTCTCCATAGGACTGACAACAATGACAGCTACACTCAAGCTTGTTTCCTTTTTCGCAGTAGGAAAAAGAAAAAAAAACATTGGGAAAACTCCCTCAGCTTCCCCTTCTTTGATATTGGCAGCTATCAGCTGACTGACTCCCTTAGAACACAAACAAAGACAAGAAGTGTCTTTGTTTCTTAATTGTGCTGTTACAAATATTTTATGGAAAGTTTTTGTCTTCAAAACTAATGACACGGTAGTTACGGTAAACAGTATGACTAGTTAATGTCTTTATGACTCACAGTTTCCATCTAAAAAGCGGCGAGTATAGAAGTAAATAGAGTTTGTGTTCCTCTGATTACAGCACAAGGAAGCATGCTATGATTTGGTTGTTGACAGCCGGGTGTTGCCCTTCTAAATGCCTCAATCGTTTTTTGGAGATAACACTGATTATAAAAAAGGACTGTTTTGTGAGATGATCTGTATTTAAACCGTTTGTGTAAGGGACAAACTAGCAAGGGAATAGGCCAGGAAAATAGAAAAGGAGAAGAAATTTTAGAGAAAATCTATGAATATGAATAATACTGAGAAAAAAGGCATTAACACATTCTCGCTTGGAAGGTTTGCAACACATAAAAATATTTCGCAACTGCACATTCCGTATTACAACAGTGTTTAATGCCTTCTTTTTTACTGCCAGACCTTGCCTTGATTCAGGACAGGATGCTATAGACCACTTTAACATTTTACTGCCACAGAAACTGCAACCAACCACAACATGGTCATAAAACTGAAAATACCATCTGTGTCTTGCAATAAAAATATATTTTGTTGGAACAAAATATACAGTGGCAAGGTGAATAGCACTGGTTGCCTCACAAAAAGATGTTCCTGAGTTTCCACCACCATGTCGGGGCCTTTCTGTGTGGATTTTGCATGTTCTCCTTGTGTTTGCAGGGGTTCTCTCCAGGTTCTCCGGCTTCCTCCCACAGTCATGCAGTCAAGACATGCAGTTAGTGGGGTTAGGTTAATTGATCATTCTAAACTGTCCATAGGTTTGAATGTAAGTGTGAATGGTTGTCTGTCTCTATGTGTTAGCCCTGCAACAGACTGGCGACCTGTTCAGGGTGTACCCTGCCTCTTGGTCTATGGTAGCTGGGAAAGGCTCCAGTTCCCCCGTGACCCTGACAAGGATAAGTGGAAGAGAATGGACAGATAGTTGGATATATCTTGTGGGTATAGAAAAATCACTGTGCCAAAAATGTATTAAAGTGCTAAGTATTTACTCCATCTTTGACATGAGGGAGCACTGAGAGAAAATATGTTTATGGCTTTTATCGTAACTAAGACACAATCTCAGTCCTCGCCTTCGTCCTCTGTACCCTCCCAGGAAGTCCTGGTGAGTCTACGCGACTGGGTGTGTAAAGCAGTGTGTGTAGGCAGGACAGCGTCCACCTTAAGGAGACTTGCGACACACTGCAATACAGCAAGAAGTAGCTGGTATTTACAGGAGACAGATTCAAGGCCCAGATCCAACTCTGAAACTTTTGACAATTTGTCACCCTCTCTACAACAATGCAAGCTTAGTTTACCATCCCCCAGAGGCCCTTCGACCTGTATAGGGCTTATAGTATTTTCTCGTTTATATACAAGGCTAAAAGGGTGGGAATCATTTGGAAACTTACTAACAAAACTTATGACCCTTCTTTGAGACTCCAGGAAATGGTGCGGACTGTGAGAGTAAATCTTTTGAGGCACGCTCAGTAGGGCATTTGCCAAGAGCTGGGAAACAGAAGCATCTATATTTAGGTCAGGGGAAACTGAGGAACTATGTCCATGTTGTAGGAGGGCATAGTGTAAGAGAAGCTCAAATAACCCACCAGCAGATAAAACACAGCCTGGCTTTAACACACACTTTTGAATGGGCTGTATAGCGATGGAGCTGTATGCGGTTTCCTCGGTCAGACTGTCTGTATGTAAAGATGCGCCTTTATGCGACTGCAGGGTGCTCTTTGATGTTGTGGCTGCAGCTGCATGCATGGGCTCCCAAGTTCTAAGTAGCATGCGAATGGCATCTTGTAAAGCACATGCATACTGCTCAATCTGTCCTTCCCCTGGGGCACAGATGATCAGACTGCAGGGTTTGATGGTGATTCTTTCTTCCGAGTCCTGGAAAGCCACATGGACATACCTGTGGAAGAGACAAAACCCATACATTAAACTAAACAAAACAGCATTAATTCCTGTTTTGGAGATTACAGATAATGCTAAACTTCCTGTTGCTATCTATAATATTATACGAGCACACTACATTACTCAAGACGAAGTGTGTTTTTTATACCTGTGGGCTCCGAGCTGTATCGGCCGGCAAAAAGCCAGTGTGGCTACGTGCTCTGATTCAATCATTGAACAGTCCCAGATTGGAGTAGTTCCACTTAGCTGGGAAAACAGAGAAAGTTCATCTTCATTGACACATTCTACAAGGCACATCTCTGCCTGTGTGGCTAAAGCCAGGACAGCAGCAGACTGTTTTACTGCAGACAGAAGCACACAAACACCCAAAGTCTGCAGCTTCGCAATAATACCCTGCAGTGAGCTTTCCATCCAGGAGCTAAAGTGTAAAATACTTCTCTCCTCCTTCATTCTGCCTCTACATCCCAACTCAAGCACGTCTCCTGTGCTGAGCAATGTTGGTTGCAGCGACCCGGTGAGAACTACAGCTTTAACTGGCTGGTGGTCAGTCTTAAGCGGTGGCGTGGCAAAGTCCCTGTGGATTACCTGCCCCTCGATTAAACGTGAAGAGCGGACAGGAAAGCCCGACACAGGTGTATGGAGGGCAGGGAAGTAGTCGCTTACAAGCTGCAGAGAGAATGAAGGTAGTTGATTTTTAAACTTCCAGTGACTGAGCAGCTCACATGTGAGGTGACTACTGAAGTCACAGTGCGTGTAACCACAGCGTGTGTGAAAAAATGATCTTAGCAGCTTTTGAACACAGAGATTGTTTGTGAGAGATGGCGTTTGTGCTTCCACAGTGAAATCTTCCCACGAAATGCAGCCTCCATAAGGGACCACTCCCGTAGCAATGAGCTCATCCAACTCCTTCAACCCAAATGCTAGCAGTTTGTCAGCCAAGTGTCTGGCAGTGGAAGCCTCTGCTGCTTTTGTTGAGCTATAAGAGTGTGACACATTAGACTCCTTGCTGGCTGCTGCATGAATCAACCGTAGCAATGATGCCAGCAGCAGGATAAAGGTTTTGGATCCATCGCCTGTTGCAGAGCTATGCTTCCAGACACACTCCACCACCATCCTAAAATGAGGAACACACAAACACGTCACCAAGGAGTTAAACCTAGAAAAATATGTATAATCATTCAAGTAAATGTTTGACTGTTAACCTGGCCAACGGATGCTCCAGATGTAGTGCCGTGAGAATGCGTGTCCCACTGCGGCTCAACATCGCCTGTCCCGTGTCTCGTGTGAACAGCACCTGTCCTCCTTCAGGGCCAAAACTGCGAAGGATGACCGCCTCCAAGACACCGACTGCCTGCAGGACATGTTCCATGTGTAAGTGCCCCAATGGCGGAATCCTTTCTCCCAGGAATGAGCACAGACTGAAATTTTAAAAAGTCTGAATTTAAACTGCGACCTGCAATAAATAAATAAATACATAATATATACAAACCCAGTATTTTTATTCTTTAAAACATGAACCCTCCTAATTAAAACACTATTTGGATTTACACACAACATACTGGCTCGCTGTAAAGCGGTATTTAAACATTAGTGTTGCATGCAGTGTAGGAAAGGTGTCAGGATAAATCTACCATGGCTGCCTGTGCTTGGCAGACACTTAAAAGCCTTTCAGAGGATATAGAGACAATTAAGTAGACAGGTCTCGACTGCCAAATCAGATATATGGTTGGTAGACTTGGGATGGCTGGCGGGCCATGATTTAATTAAGGGATCTAGGACTTCATGTGTTGGAAGTTGACCTGACTGCTTAGAGAAGCAATGAGAGGGCGTAACTGTAGACACTATTAGATCCTACCTAAGTGAGAAAGCAGTAATGATGATGAAGAATGTTAACAATATCTGACTCAGAGGCGTGGCTGCTTGTCTTTTTTATATATGTGGAAACAGGAGCCACACTGGGATAGAGTGGGTTCAAAGGAAATCGAGGTTTGACTTTGACTGATCGTATAATGACAAAAACCAAAATTAGTGCAGTTGAGGGTTTGGAGATGTAATTGCAAAGGAAATCCAAATCCAGCTTTTCTGAGAAACACAGAAATCTTGGCAATGTGATAGATCCTTAAAAGCAAAGTAAGAAAATCAAATCTATGACAAATTATGTAGGTAGGTTAGAGAGTGGAGAAATTTTATTTTGGTTTACAGATCTATTGGTTTCCACACTAGAAAACTGTTTACCCAAAAGCTATTGAACCATACTGTATTGAACAATATCTATAACAACAATGCTTAGTGAATATTTTTCCGTTAAACAACATTAATTATTAAAGCATGGCAATAAATATATAGTATGCAAACCATGTTTGTTTGGTTTTTTCTCGGAGAGAAACCGTTTACTTAATGAAACAGAAATTATAGTTTAACAAATGGGCAGAAATAACAGGAAAATGCTCAGATCTTTGTCAAATAAGTAAAACAGACCCACTG